GGGGGTTCCAGGTTGATTCTGTAAACTCGGACTTAACAGGGTTAACAAGTCTGCTCATAAAGAAGTTTGGTTATTGGGATTCATGTCAAATTCTGAGTTGGGTTGTTGACTTTTTTGTTGGGAGAACTCAGGCAGTTAAGTTATGACGGTATTTCGTCTCGTGTTTTTGATGTTCCACATTCCATCACTGAAGAAATAGAGACTGTATCTAATTGACAAGAAATTGACTCTCAATTTGTACAGTTTTTGATGAATGAAGCCTTATTCCCTAAGGTTGCTTTCATATTACAAACCTTAGCTGACATCTCCCGAAAGACAATCAACCAACAGTTGCCGGCCGGAAGACTTATCCATCATAACCATAAATAAATTTTGTATGGCTTTTTATTGATAGATTGTGAACTACGGCAACATTGCACAAGCTTACCCAGGGCCAAACTATGCCTCGTGCGGTTTTGGCGAAAACCCCGATGATGATGAGGAGGTAAACGAGCGAGAAGAAGGGGAACTCTCGGATTCGATTCCTCTCTCCTACGTCACCGTGACGTACCTGCGACGTCAGAGAGTGCAGCCACGAGCCTTGGAACGTTTTTCTGCTGCGCGCACATGTTTCTGTGTGTGTGTATCGGGAACCGAAACGGAATTCCACTTAACACTTTATAGAATGATAATAAAACCTTAATATGGTTGTAGTTTTACCGATACTATAGTGGCTCGGTAAATTTTTTTTAAAAAGGAACTCATAGTTATTTTGGTCAAGGCTGCATTTGAATTAAAAGATCAAATTTGGATCCGGCAACGTTGATGTTAGTGGCACGAGCTGCCAAACAAAATCTATAGTAATTTTTCTCTCAGCGTAACCTGGCAACAAGGGCTAGACTGTTGTGTTGGGTGGTCTAAATATTTCGGGTGGAACAACCCCATCGGTATAGGGGAGAGAGAATGATGCCATAGGGGCAAACAAAAGGGTGTTTAGTGCACCGCTCTATCGATAAATGCACGATTCAAGTGCTAACAATTTAATACAAATTGGCCACTGTATATAGAAGAAAATCACCGTCTACATACCGAGAGGTCAACGATTTCTGATTTTGCTTCTCTCGGCGACTTATACACTCGCGCTTTTATAATGCTGGTTCAAAACCGTTTAAATTGTTATTTCGATAGTTTCAAGTCAACAAACTGGTAACTGATCTGTTTGCAATTGTCCTCTGACACCAACAAAGGAGTTATGTATTTGAATATTGACTCATACAACAATGTTTAGAGTTATAGGTAGTTGTAATTCAGCTGGAACTTAATTCAACAAAATTGCAAATAATAAATCCACTGAAAAGTGTTTAGGATGAGAAAGGAAAGAGACTCTTATTGAGGCACCCTATTTTGTAAAAACAAGGAAAAGTCACTGTTTCTAGAAATAAGCCTCGCCAATATCTCAGAAAATCTTTCATGATAATGTTGATAGATTTACTTTTAAATCACTGAAGCATTGTGTGAGATTGTACTTATTTCAATCTGATCTCTGTCAAATAGTTCAAAATCCAACTAATTATTATTTGCAAAATAATAGGCATTGGTGATGAGAATAGAGAGATTTTGAGCCACCTATTTGATCAACGTTATACATTATCAGTTATTTTGCTCATGCGCAATAGTGAAAAAATAACCGGCCCGCTACTAGCGGGCTACAATCCCTTAAATTTTAGCTCATTTGCACTTATAGTTCCTGAGATAAAATCGTGTTAAGAAACTTGGGGTCATTTATCAATTTTTCAATTTTTCTGAGTGCCTTTTTTCATAGATTTCGGTTTAAAATCTGAGAATAACTTGGTGTATGGAGTTCGGGGGATATCAAATGACCATTAGGACACAAAATCTCAACAAAAAAATAATTGAAATTTTATCGTTCTAGTAAGATGGTACCTACCTTATGATTTAGATTTTGGAAAACTTTGAAAAGTCGTAACTTTTTTTCTATTATAGGTAGAAAGCTGAAATTTTCAGCGATTCTTATTCCAGTAGACGACTTCAATCCCTGAAAATTTCAACTCATTTGGACTTATAGTTCCTGAGATAAAATCGTGTTAAGCAATTTGGGGTGATTTATCAAGTTTTCAATTTTTCTGAGTGCCTTTTTTCATAAATTTCGGCTTCAAATCTGAGAATAATTTAGTGTATGGATTTTGGAGGATGTTAATTGACCATTAGAATGCAAAATCTCAATGAAAAAAAAATTGATATTTCATTGTTTTATGATTTCAGTCATAACAACAGTAACATTACATCTCCACATATTTCCCCAGATCCCGCTCATGTCTCTCCAGATTTCTCTAGATATCCTGAAAATTGCTTTTTCTTTTATCTGAAATGTCTTTGACTCGCTGGAGTTGGCTCACTTAAAAAAAAATTAACATATCCAAGCCCTGATTTCACAAAATGAAGAATTCATATTTTGGTATGAAGTACCTTGAATGATTTAATTAATAATTACTAATCTCCAAACAATGAGCCTCCTATAAGTCAGCCTTCAGTATCAAAGGAAATACCACAAAGCAACAAATCAGTCCCAAATCTTTTATATTTCTAATGAGGAAAGGTGTTGAAGAACATTCTACATCTTTATGGAAAAAATTGAAACAGAGTTTTGAAAGTAGTTGCCATAGAGAAAACATCTCTAACTCAAAAAATGAGTATCTTGATTCCAAAAATGAATAGTATACATTGGTGTCTAGTCAGAGAGTATCCATTCATCAAACCTTCAAAAAACTTATACTCGTAGTAAATCACGAAACGACTTGCTAATTGTTCAATTAGCAAACACTTAACAGTTTAAGTAAACAAAACACGGTTCATTTAAAGGTGGACACTCGTTGTAGTTTCATTCTAATTTATTTGTAGCGGCACAGCTCAAGGTAGAAGCTGGCAACAGTCTAAAGCAATCATTTTTATTAATCCTCCTTTGTTTTTAGTAGGTAGTAGATATTTTCGTTGGCTCACTACTAAATAGAAGCAACGTTGCCGAGCTTTGCATAACAATGATTTGTTTACATCTTTATTTGAATTGAGAATTTGTCTTTTAAGATTCTATATAAGAATGGTCAACAAATATAGAATATGCAACGACAGGGTTATGAGAATAGTAGAAATAATACAGGATGTAGAACCATAATCCAGTTAGGATATTAAATCTAATCATGGAGTAAAGGTAACAAGGAGAGCTGAAGATATTGGAATAAAATAAACAACGTTCAACATGGAGAATGGAATAAATAAATACAGTAGAACCCCGGTTATTTTAGGTAACATGGGAGGGCACCCACTGACTGAATACTCGGATAATCCGAATGTACATATATTTATATTTTAGAAACTCGGTTAATACGGAGTATAGACACGCCTACCTCGGATAATCAGGGTTTTTGGGTCTTAAGACTGGTTCAGTTAATCCAGAGCTCGGATAATTGCGACTCTGATAATCGTGCTTCTACTGTACTTTATATATTATGTTTCATATATTATCTAGACACAAACAATAAGATTCACTTTTTAACCAATTGGACAGAAATGGCAGAAAAACTAGATTGGTTCAAAAAGCTCATATTTGACCATCCCAAACTTAAACTTTAGTTGAAAATTGTGGAAGTCTCCTGGTTCTACTAGAGCTGAAATTTCAACTAAAAATCATAAAGATTCTATTCTCGGTGCTCCTATAGCCAAAAATTGTACACATCTTTGATTCTTGACCATTTATAAGTTAAATTAGAGTTACAGTGGTTCAAAAAGTTGAAAGAAGGCAGATCAATTTTGCAAATGAAGAAGAAATTAATGTCAAATCCTTTTAGAGTCATGTGGAACAGAGAAAAGATGCCTGTCAAGGAACGAGGAAAGATAATGAAAATAGGTCAAGGCCCATGACATATCTACAAAGACAGACTTTTCAACTCATTTTTATAAAATTCATATGTGCAGTTTCCCATATATTTTGCTGAACTTTAGGCTTACAGATTTGTAAATAACTAGATTGTAGACTTGTTTGCACACTTCTTTTCTAGTGTTTACTGGAGCCGTACCACCAATCAGGCTTCGAAATACTAATTTTCCAACGTCCCTGATATTTCTGGATACTCTGTTTCTTGTGCTGAAATTAGGCGTTACAGCAATTCAAAAAGTTGAAAGAAGGCAGATCAATTTTGCAAATGAAGAATAAATGTCAAATCCTTCTAGAGGTGTGTAGAACAGAGAAAAAATGCCTATCAAAGAACGAGGAAAGATAATGGAAACAGGTCAAGGCCCATAACAGATTTACAAAGACAGACTTTTCAACTAATTTTTATAAAATTCAAATGTCCAGTTTCCCATATATTTTGCTGAACTTTAGCCTCACAGATTTGTAAATAACTAGATTGTTTATTTAATAGTTTTCAATGAAAATAAGTATACAAATTCAAATGGAAAATATGCGGCTAGGTTCAAATCAATTAGCCATTATCTAATAATAATAATAATAATAGTGCAAAATAGTTTTTAACAAAAACAAGATAAGCAACAGATTATGGCATAAATTTATACATTTTCAAAGATAAGCCGCTTTACTGATATCTTAATTATGGTTAAATTGTATTCACCTACACTCTACTGGATAAATTTTTAAATGTCGGAAAGAGGTGCCAGGGAAATATTTAGTAAACAAACGTAATTTTGGTTTACCTACGTCAGCAGGAATTCTCCTGCACCTTATTACACTATGCAAATATTTCAATGCGAATTATTTTCTAAATATAACACCGTGAGGTATTATTAACAGTTAAATCAGATCTAGAGAATCCAAAATATGTAATTGGACTTTTATGATGTTAATCTCATAAATTTGTAATAGGGCTATTTGAAAGCTGACCTAGTGCACATGCACATGCATCTGTGCGCCCCTTTGGGGGACAACTAGATAATCTGTTTAATGTTCCATTAATTCCACTATATTAATTAGGATTTTCTTATTCCAGATTGTGAACAAGGTTCATGGGAAAGCGGCCTGTCCTACGAATGCAGATCCCTACTATTCAAAGCTTTGCACAACCTAATCGAACGTTGTTTGCTATCGAGAGACTTCATACGTCTCGGAAAATGGTTCGTGCAACCCTACGACTATCCGGCACCGCGTTACGACCCCACCGATCCGGAAAACCCCAACGGACCCTCGCCCGAAGCTTACACGACACCTCCACCGACAGCCGGACATTTGTCGTTTTCTTTTGCCTTTTTTGTACACGGCGAGACTTCGGTTTGCGCTAGTGTAGATGTACGGCAACATCCGCCTGTACGGAGACTTACCAGGTGGCACATGCAGGAAGCTCAGTCTAATACTGGAGGAATCAAAGGTAAGAATTATCAGTGTCTTAGTTGAATTGCAATAGAAAATCTATTCAGATCTTCTTAGGTTTTTACACTGTTTTGCTTTTGCCCCCAGGTTGTTTAGAAAGTTTATTCCAAGGGGCAAACCACCTAGGAATTCTTTGCCAAAAATGTGGGGAATTTAAAGGAATTTGTGTGAAATTCAAAGGAATTTGTTGGGAATTTGAAGGAACTTATTGGAATTTATGGGAATTCGCGGAATTTATAGCGAATTTTTATGGGGAATTTGGGAGAATTTGTGAAGAATTCATGAAGAATTTAAAGGAAATTGTAGGGTCATGAGGTCACTGAGGTTCATATTCTTATTATAAGAAATAGTTTTATGTTGGACGTTAGATATTCGTTTTTAATAAAGAAATCCTCCCAAAATTACACTTCATGATTTACAGGTCCAAATTTGAAAAATTCAGAATAATAATGAATACAGTTTTTGTAGGCTGATTTCCAAGACTTTTCATGTTGTTATTTTCCCATGGAAAAATTTAAAATTTTGCGAAAATGAGCTTCTCACCTTCCTCTTTACATGCAAAAAGTTTCAAAATTTTCCCTTTACTAGTTTTCCAGGAAAGCTTTGAAATGTGTGAGACTGTTTTTTCAACTAATTCAGTTTGTGTAGGTTGAGTTCCAAGACTTTTCATGTTGCTGTTTTCTACTGGAAAAATTTGAAATTTTGGGAAAATGATCTTCTCACCTTCCTTCTTACATGCAAAAAGTTTAAAAATTTTCTCTTTACTAGTTTTCCAAGAAAACTTTAAAATGTGTGAGACTGTATTTTCAACTAATTCAGTTTTTGTAGGTTGATTTTCAAGATTCCTCATATTGTAATTTTCTACTGGAAAAATTTGAAATTTTGGAAAAATGATGTTCTCACCTTCCTCTTTACATGCAAAAAGTTTCAAAATTTTCCTTTCACTAATTTTCCAGAAAAACTTTGAAATGTGTGAGACTGTATTTTCAACTAATTCAGTTTTTGTATGTTGATTTCCCATATTCCTTATGTTGCTGTTTTCCACTGGGAAAAATTGGAATTTTGGGAAAATAATTCTCTCACCTTCCTCTTTACATGCAACAAGTTTCAAAATTTTCTCTTCAGTAGTTTTCCAGGAAAACTTTGAAATGTGTGAGACTGTATTTTTAACTAATTCAGTTTTTGTAGGTTGATTTCCAAGATTTTTCATATTGCTGTTTTCCACTGGAAAAATTTGAAATTTTGAGAAAATGATCTTCTCACCTTCTTCATTACATGCAAAAAGTTTCAAAATTGTCCCTTCACTAGTTTTCCAGGAAAACTTTGAAATCTGTGAGACTGTATTTTCAATTAATTCAGTTATTATAGGTTGATTTCCAATATTCCTTATGTTGTTATTTTCCACTGGAAAAATTTGAAATTTTGGGAAAATGATCTTCTCACCTTCTTCTTTACATGCAAAAAGTTTCAAAATTGTCCCTTCACTAGTTTTCCAGGAAAACTTTGAACTGTGTGAGACTGTATTTTCAACTAATTCAGTTTTTGTGGATTGAAGTCCAATATTCCTTATGTTGTTATTTTCCACTGGAAAAATTTGAAATTTTGGGAGAATAAGCTTCCCACTTTCCTTTTTAGATGCAGAAAGTTTCAAAATTTTCCCTTCATTAGTTTTCCAGGAAAACTTTGAAATGTGTGAGACTGTATTTTCAACTAATTCAGTTTTTGTAGGTTGATTTCCAATATTCCTCATGTTGCTGTTTTCCACTGGAAAAATTTGAAATTTTGGGAAAATGATCTTCTCACCTTCTTTTTTACATGCAAAAAGTTTCAAAATTGTCCCTTCACTAGTTTTCCAGGAAAACTTTGAAATGTGTGAGACTGTATTTTCAATTAATTCAGTTATTATAGGTTGATTTCCAATATTCCTTATGTTGTTATTTTCCACTGGAAAAATTTGAAATTTTGGGAAAATGATCTTTTCACCTTCCTTTTTACATGCAGAAAGTTTCAAAATTTTCCCTTCACTAGTTTTCCAGGAAAACTTTGAAATATGTGAGACTGTATTTTCAATTAATTCAGTTATTGTAGGTTGATTTTCAATATTTCTTATGTTGTTATTTTCTACTAGAAAAATTTGAAATTTTGGGAAAATGAGCTTCTCACTTTCCTTTTTACATGCAAAAAGTTTCAAAATTTTCCCTTCAGTAGTTTTCCAGGAAAACTTTGAAATGTGTGAGGCTGTATTTTCAACTAATTCAGTTTTTGTAGGTTGATTTCCAAGATTTTTCATGTTGCTGTTTTCCACTGGAAAATTTTGAAATTTTGAGAAAATGATCTTGTCACCTTCCTCTTTACATGCAAAAAGTTTCAAAAATTTTCCCTTCACTAGTTTTCCAGGAAAACTTTGGAATATGTGAGACTGTATTTTCAATTAATTCAGTTATTGTAGGTTGATTTCCAATATTTCTTATGTTTTTATTTTCCACTGGAAAAAGTTGAAATTTTGGGAAAATCAGCATCTCACTTTCCTTTTTACATGCAAAAAGTTTCAAAATTTCCCCTTCGGTAGTTTTGAAGGAAAACTTTGTAATGTGTGAGACTGTATTTTCAACTAATTCAGTTTTTGTAGGTTGATTTCCAAGATTTTTCATGTTGCTGTTTTCCACTGGAAAAATATGAAATTTTGAGAAAATGATCTTCTCACCTTCTTCTTCACATGCAAAAAGTTTCAAAATTTTCCCTTCAGTAGTTTTCCAAGAAAACTTTGAAATGTGTGAGACTGTATTTTTAACTAACTCAGTTATTGTAGGTTGATTTCCAATATTTCTTGTTGTTATTTTCTACTGGAAAAATTTGAGATTTTGGAAAAATGAGCTTCTCACTTTCCTTTTTACATGCAAAAAGTTTCAAAATTTTCCCTTCAGTAGTTTTCCAGGAAAACTTTGAAATGTGTGAGACTGTATTTTCAATTAATTCAGTTATCGTAGGTTGATTTCCAATATTTCTTATGTCGTTATTTTCCACTGGAAAAATTTGAAATTTTGGGAAAATAAGCTTCTCACCTTCTTCTTCACATGCAAAAAGTTTCAAAATTTTCCCTTCAGTAGTTTTCCAAGAAAACTTTGAAATGTGTGAGACTGTATTTTCAATTAATTCAGTTATTGTAAGTTGATTTCCAAGATTCTTCATGAAATTCGCAGGGAATTTGAAGGAATTTGTGGTGTATTTGGAGGAATTTGTGATGGGGTATCTGGAGGAATTTGCAGTAAATTTGAGGAATTATGTGTAAAAAATTCCCCTTTGAGGAATTATTTGCATCAATTCTGGGATGGTGGTTTATCCCTTAGTTTGTTCAGATATTCTTAGATTACTTCCACAAGAAAGATCTGGGATAGATTTATGTTGAGCAGATTTTTAGAAAGTACTAAAGAAGCAAAAAAAAAAAACTGAAGAAACTTTTGAAAGATTCCAAAAATTTGACAGTTCACCACCATATAATGAAAATGTTGTTTTTATAAAACAATCAATGTCAAAATGCGACTATCCAAATTTCCGTAAATATGTCTACTAATTTCGTAGTTTGGCTTGGAAGAAGACCAGCAACAGCATCGAAAAAAACCCAGGCTTCTAAATCAAATCTCGGAAGCAGAAATGAGTCGAGCATCAGCCAACAGAAAATGGAGATTCTTGAGACCTACGATGACACATTAGATTTAACTGGCAAAGTGAAATGTTCATCTTCATGTAATTCTTCAATCAATTACAATAAGTCCATGCATTGCTTGACACAAGTTTGTGTGGAAATTGCAAAGTCTAATGAGGATTTACCTAATAATTCTATATTGAAGGAAGTACAAGCTGCCATAGACTGCCAATGGAGGGACACCCAAAAGAAACTTGAGAAATATAAAAATCAATTAGTTAGTGTGGATATTTCTGAGAATTTGCCACTTATATTAAGTGGTGAAGTTAACATAATGCCTGAACTACAACATTTCCAAAGAAAGGAGATTCATATACAAAAAGTTAACAAATCCGTCAATGTTTCAGTTCCAAATTGCAAGCCTTCCTATACAATTTATGAAGTGCCTTCTAAGAAAGTCGCAAGAAAAATTATAAAACCCAAATCTGACGTAAAAGTTCAAGTTGATATTGATTCTATAAAAAAATTGTCCAATAAGACAACAGAAACTCATCTAGAAACCAATAGCCAATACAGCCAATACTTTCAAGCGCCAACACTTAAAGATAGTTGCATTAATACAGATAATAATGAGCAGTCATTGGAAAAGTATGAATGCATAACCAAAACTGATATATTTTGCTTGGAATGGATTGAAAATAACTTGTTTAGAGTACCAATAAACCCTTACACTCTTGTTATCAATGACAAATTGAAGGAATCAAGTGAAGTTACTTGTTTGGGAACTAAGTATCTCGATGATGATATAATGTTGGATATTGAAGGCATTCTCGCTAAATTAGTCTAAAAATATTTTTGTTTTGTGTATATAGAAAATTTCCTGTAATAAAACTATATGTGATTTAGAAAAATTGGGCAATTTTTTCTTATTATTTTCAGTTATCCTGGCTCCATTTGGCCTAGCCGGTACCCTGACCGGTCAAAGTTTCCGATCTCCAGATTCAACAGCCAAATTTCTAGACGACTGGAGTCATTTTTACCCTTTGGACAAGAGCTCATCACTCACTGACAGTAGCGTTGTTGAGGTTATTGTAGGAGGAGCCAAAATGAGGTAATATTATAGTAATTTTCTAATAGTTTCCCAAATTTCATTATTATGCTTCTTAGGTATCCGTCATGTTACGTTATGGTAACAGACTTAGATGACAATGCCAACCAGCCAATAAGCAATATGAATGGCAGTATTGCACCAACGACCAATGAAAGGTAATAGTTATTTATGCTAAACAGCCAAAAAAAAACTAACTAATAAATTCTTAGACTTACCAAATCAAATTCCACTGCGAGCGGGCCAAATTCACCACTGACAGTTCCCACTCCAGCACCTTCGCCTATACAAATTAACAGTCGAGTGCCCCAGCCTGGACCTCATACCGTTTCAGTGGAACACATCAACAGCATGTCCAGAGAACAAAGTGCGGCTCAAATTCTTCCGGAACGGACGTGGCAACATTGTCTTTGCGGTGGCGGTTTGAACGGTGAAAAACCGAGCAAAGAGGATGGAAATTGGGATTTTGTCGAGCCAACGAGAAAAGCAATTTGTACCTGTGTAAAGTAAGTACTGGATGATTTTTTTTTGGACATTGTAATTGTTTTAACTTTAGGCCTAGGAAATACAGTTCGAAGTGGACTGTTGCAACGTCGCCGAGGACACAAAAACTTTCAAAAAATCGTGTTCCTTTTCACAGGAGGTCGCCGACACCCAAATTGGAAGCGAAAAGGCCTCAAACGGGTGCTTCTTCCAATTCGCAGTCACAAGACTCAAGGTTGGTCGAGAAGCCTCTCTTGTTTTTTGCTCTTGACAAATAAGGAGCAATTAATTTCTAAGTAACAAAATTAAAGTTGTCTGAACTTAACTGCTTCAAATTGACGTTATTTGGGCACCGATTTGGTTGAGGTTGTTTTTCATCAGGAACACATTTTTGGTGTGATTTGTATTGTCTCGTGCTTCCTTTACGGCTTTGGGTTCAATATTAATCAATCATTTCATCCACAAAGGTTATTTCAACTAATTATATTTCTTTCAGCACATTTTAACCAAAAACTATTTACATTTCAGGTTGAAGGTTTATTATTTTATTATTACACACAACTAATAATGGTTGAGTTCCACTACACATCTAATAAAACCTATATTATAACAACAGCTCATATAGCAATTTTTCGTCTTCCAGAACTTGCATGGGCGGTTCGTATACGCCACAAGGTGGCCCACCATCCTACCCGAGAACCCAGGAAAGCATGATTGTCAACTCTGTAGGCAGTCCCGCTTCAGTGGCGCCCTCACCGTTACAAGGACCCCATTCTCAACCAGCTTCGGTACCACCAGCCGACGCTACAATGCCAACTTTGTCACCGAACCCGCCAATTTCGGACCAATCGCCTTTGGTGGGCGGAGATAAGACGCATACGCCGCCTGACAGTGTTCGGCTGCCACCCAAAAGTGTGGAAAGTCCTTCGAATAGTCCTGCGGGTGGTAAATGCGAGGAAAAAGTCGGATTAGGGAGGACCAGCGAGGATTCGGAGAAAAGTAATAGTGGGCTTGTGCCTTTGAAAAGGCCATTGTTACAAAGTAAAGGTAAAAATAATCTAGTTTGTGGTTAATGTTAAAGGATTTCATGCCCATATTTTTGAGTACCAATGTACGTTAAGGATGATATGGTGTTCCGTAAATATCATCTCCAAAATCATTGGAACATTATTTAAGATGGATTTTTTTCAATGGATATCTATTATTCATATTTATCTATAGTCTAAGTCAATCAAACACGATCATATGGGTCAATGAATCATAAATTTTTAAATTATTAAGATAGTGTTAGTTTTTGAATAATTGGGATTAAAAATAAAGAATTAATTCGACCTTTTCCCAAATATTCAAACACTACAATTATCTGGCAGAAAAGTTTTTCCGGGCTATAATGCTGTGGTCGAGTAATATTTCTATCTAAGGTTTCATCTACTGCTGCGGTAGACATCTTCAGATGCGATGTGGTAGAGGACGAAGTGTTCTCTCCGTGTTCCTCCGATGACTGGATTCGACGTTGTTGGTCCTGCGTTATTTATATTGTCACGAAGCCTCTCTTGCTCCGCTCTCGACTATTCACCCTGAAAATCAGAACGGGAAGGGAAAGGGAACACCAAGTATAGGCCCAAGCTTGATCTTTGTGGTCAGCAGCTGCTAAGAAAACCAAACCAACACCGACAATAGAAGCTAGGGAGCATGTACTATAGCGCAGAGTCTGGGTCGTCAGTTGAAATCTGCTCGAACAGAGATACGATGCGCAATCCCTATTCGGCCAGATAGCTTCCGACTTTTGAGACGTGTCTAAACACCTACTGATACAGAAAAGTGCTGAGACACGACTGATTTGCCATAGTGTGGCAGTGGCTTTTATATCCAATATTTGCTGACTATAATTAGGTTAATTAGTCTGGTTGTGTTTTCTTGCTTAGTTGCAGTTATTTGTTTTAACCCGTGGTTCAGTGTATTGAATTTGCTTATAGCCCGTGGTCCCTTGTAGGGTTGACAATATTGAAGATTGTGGGCTTGGCTTGCATTAGGCAGGCGCGGATCCAGACCCAAATTAAGGGAAGGCCATACAAAATATTGGAAGGTACAGGAATTCTGGTTATAATTTGACACTCCACCTTTATAGGTATGTACATGATAGGTGTAAACACAAAAGTGGAGCAGTTTCAGCTAAATTATTGTCAGAAATTTGAAATTTTGCGTACTCTCAACTTTTTTCAAATAGAATGCCCTATATTTGATTCTATATTCTTGAAGAACACAATTTTCCGATTCCAAAAATATATAGTTTCTCTATATTTAGTTGAGTTGCTTCCACCATATTTGGCTTCAAAAATTTTAAAAATACTATCAGAAAAACCAAGTGCCTCAAATTTTACCTGAAGCATTAATCAGAATGGTTCACAAAATCGTCATTAGGATAGTATTTTTCCAATTTTTGGAGCCAAATACGTTGAAGGCGGATCAAACAAATATTGTCAAACTATTCAGGGTGGGACACGAAAAACTTCCCACCCAGAGTTTCTCAGGTGTTAGGTGTTTAATCAAAAATCGCTCAGACACGTCAATTTTTGTTTTTTGGGGGACACATTTTATTGGTATTTTCACCCCCTACCTGTCAACCCCTAAGTGGGGGTGACAGGTACCCCCAAAATTTTATTTAGAAAGAGGGGTCGAGTGATATGTCATTTGGTAGCTATTTTCATATAAGATTATATCCCTGAAGTTTTAAGTTGCTAGTGTTCACCCTGTCGAAATGGCGGAATGTCAAAGTTAGGATAAATGCTTTTTTTCGATAATCTAAACTGTATAGTTTTTACCTGTCACACCTATGCTTAGGTAACAGGTAAAAACCACACAGCATTTTTCCATTGATTTTTCCTAACTTTGACAAGCCCCCATTTCGACAGGGTGAATAGTAGCAACTTTTTTCGGGGATATAATCTTAATGAAAATAGCTATCAAATGACGGATCACTCGACTTCCTTTTTATTTGAAATTTTGGGGTACCGGTCACCCCCACTTAGGCGTTGACAGGTAGAGGGTGAAAATACCAACAAAATGTGTCCCCCAAAAAACAAAAATTGACGTGTTCGAGCGATTTTTAATTAATCACCTAACACCTGAGAAAACCTGGGTGGAAAGTTTTTCGTGCCCCACCCTGTATATTAGAAGCAAATATAGGGCATTTCATTTAAAAAAGTTGAAAGTACCGAAAATTTCAAATTTCTTACAATAAACTTTTGTTTTTGACGATGGATTCTGAAAATTTAGTTAAAACTGCACAACTTTTGTGTTCACACCTATTATCTACCTGTAAAGGTAAAGGCTGCAGGTGAGGTATCAAATTATAACCAGACACCCTGTACAGGGCGTTTCAGATTCGAGCCACATCATTGGGATCTCGGAAACGGTAAGATATACAAGGCTGGTTAAATGGGGGCAAAGTTGCGAAATTTGATGCTTAACAAAATGCCGCTTTGATATTTAGGATATTCCGAATACTTCCGGAGATATCCGGAAAAAACCGAAATTTTGCAAAATTGTTTTTATTTTTTCCTGACGTTATTTGGAGTGATACTCCAAAATAAATGTCACTTCATCATTGCTACCTTTTCTCCCCTACAAGATGCTACCATCAAATTTGAAATCTGACGTTTCGTCTTTGGGCCACCATCATCAACTTCATTTTTTTAAATACGGACCCTTATTTTTTATTTTAGATTTCACAAACTTCTGATGTCCCAAAACTAATGACGTATTGCACTTATTCAAAAAACTTATATTATTGTTACTTTTCATAAGAACCAAATGTGTTAGAGAGAGACAGAGAAGAGAATTTTGGTAGGAAATTACTAAAAATTTGAAAAAATATTTTTTCGAATAAATGCGATACGTCATAGGTTTTGGAACATCGGAAGCACTAAAAATCTGAAATAAAAAATCCAGGGTCGTATTTAAAAAAATAGAGTTGATGATGGTGGCCCAAAGACGAAACGTCAGATTATAAATTTGATGGTAGCATCTTGTAGGGAAGAAAAAATGGCAACAATGATGTGATATTTTTTTTGGAATATCACTTCAAATAAAGTCAGGAAAAAATGAAAACAATTTTGCAAAATTTCGGTTTTTTCCGGATATCTCCGGAAGTATTCGGAATATCCTAAATATCAAAGCGGCATTTTGTTAAGCATCAAATTATGCAACTTTGCCCCTATTTAACCAACCCTGTATATCTTACTGTTTCCGAGATCCCAATGATGTGGCTCGAATTTGAAACACCCTGTACATACAAATAGAATAGGCTAGAGGTCCGTGATAAAATGACGCCATGAAATAAAATTCTATTATATTCGGGTCCTGGTAAAACCGGAAAAATTGGTCGATTTAATGTTGCTTTTTAAAATTATTTTTTCTTATCTAGGGGGGGGGGGGCCATGGCATTAGGCTTTTTTCCTTGTTTCGTTCTCGGAAAGGAAGAGTCTTTTTTTTTCAGAACACTGGCAACCAGCTTTTGTTAAGGTTCATGCCCTCTTTTTCTCTGTTGAAGTTGTGGTGGTATTTCTGTATCTCTATGGCTTCTCTGTGGAACAAGAGTAGATAGAAATGTTCTGGGTAACAATCTAAACGTAAATCTAAACTAAAACCTATAGCTAAATACTTTTATAATGAAAAGGAATTCATTGCTCAAAATATAATAAAATATAGAAAAAAAAATTAGCCTTTCTGTTTAGATTTATTTAGTTTTTTAGTCGTCTTGTTTGTCATGTAGTCTTGATTCGAGAATTGTAGGTACTTTAACAATTACAGTCGTGAAAAGTACACGTTTTCGGTTTTACGGGTCTTCTTAGGCATAAACCAATAGGGTTTTCCTGTATTGAGACAGGATGTGGTGCAAAGTTGGAACTTGGTTTATTAGGTTTGATAGGGGTCAATTTCAAGTTTTTTGGGGCGTAAGGTAAATCATTTTCATCTGAAGAATGATCAGTTCTTTGTAGAACAAGACTTCGAGCATCAGGGTTTTGTGAATGACATTCAATGTTGATAAAGATTATTCAAAGGAACTAAGAAGTACTTCGGTACTTTGAGGGTTTGTTTGGGTGTGATTTACTTGATCACCAGGGCTACCTTCAGGGTTACTTTCTTCCTCAGATAAATCTTTATCTAGAACATCTGGATAGTCAATGGAATGGGCAGTGTGAATGAAAATTCAGTAAAAGCTTTTTCCTATGTTTTCGAAGCAAAAGCTAGGTTTTCAGTGAATAAGAATAAGTATTAGCTTTCACTAACAAGGATTGAATTATTATTATTTAGTCATTTATTTAGCACAATATACTAATTCTATGTTACAATATACCGGTTCCGTCTTATTCTAAAATCTAAAACAAAATATCAAAATCACATTACTTATTAAAACTAACAATCATAGACTATAGACTACAAATCCAGTCATCCTTACAATAAAGTTAACAATTTAAAAAACAAATATCAATCCAAATCAGAACAATAATCAACCATCTCAAGGTACATACAAATTATTCTCTCTCAGCAAATGAACTTTCAGCTGTTTCTTAAAACTATACATTGAATCACATGTTTTTATCACAGCGGGCAATTTATTGTATAGATCGACTCCCCTAAAAAATAACGTATTTTGACCAGACTTTTTATTTTTTGGTGCTATGAAAAAATCGTTTTGCTGACGTGTACTGTAGTTATGGATTTCATTATTATAAATTATTTTATTTTATCCATTAAGTATTGAGGGGCATGACCATTCTTTATCTTGAAAATAAAAACCATAACACTGTACTTAATATATTCAGAAACAGGCAACCATTGCAAACGTTCTTGCATAGAACGGATTGAAGTGTATCTGTTACATCCCAAAATCACCCTCATTGCACGATTCTGCATTTTTTGTATTCTTCCTAATGTATTCTGGTTTAACAAAAACAAAATACTTGCACAATAATTAATATGTGGTAGTACAAGTGTATTATGTATAACAAATTTAGTCCAGAAACTCAAATATGGACTGCATC